TCCCTGCCCACCGCCCCCCCTGCGGCCCCCACAGGCCACTTCAGCAATGCCCTCACCCTCTGGCTGGGCATCAAGCCCGCGCCGCTCTTCTTCTTCCTCTTCCTGCCGCCCCTCCTGCTGGACAGCGCCGCGCGGATTGACTTCTTCCTTTTTAAGCGGGTGCGCAGCCGCCACGCGCCGGGCCGCGCCGCGCCACGCCCCACGCACAGCGGGGTGCTCGTGCCCCGGCTCCCGCTCCCAGACGGGGATGGCACGCGCTGCTGCTGGGCGCGCAGCGGACGCGCCGGCTGATTGCTGCAGGGGTGCCCAAGGCAGCAACCGTACTCAAACCCCCCGCCCTCCCTGCGGCAACTAGCAAGCAGCACTCTGCTCTGCATGACTCACCCCCTGATACCCGGCCCCCCAATTCATTCAATGAACGATCCTCCCGCAGATCGCCACGGCTTGCCTCGTTTTTGCGTTTGCAAACGTTATCATAGGGGCGTTTGCCCTCGTCCCATTCCTGCAGTATGGACTCGGCCTCGCCTCCCAAGGCTGGCGCGCCATCGACTGCGCGCTATTCGCGGCCATGCTCGCCGCCACCGACGCCGTCGCCGTCGCCGCCATCCTTAAAGGAGGCGAGCAGTTGTATCAGCGCCGCCCCGCCGCCCGCCCGCGTGCATTGCACGTTCGACTGGGGGGCGCCTTGTGCACGCTTGCAAACACTTCCGGCATGCGGGTGGCCTGGTGCCCGAGCCGAGACCGACACCGGCCCCCTCACCAGAGGTGCATCTCGCCTTGCACAGCCAGCCAGGAAGCTGTTTTCGCGCCCTCGTTGACAGCGCGCCCCGCGGGTGTGCCCCGGCCGCCCGCCCAGCGACGTTTGCGTGTCCGATCCCCGCCTGGGCCCCAGGTGGCGCCCCTGAGTGGCTGGCGGTGCTGCTCGAGGGGGAGTCCCTTTTTAACGACGCCAGCTCCATCGTGCTGTTCGAGGTGAACCTTGAACCCTGGTCCTAGCGGCCAACCAGGGTCTGAACGGCCGATGGCCCTGCTGCTGATGGCGTTTTGCCCACCCCCCCAAGCTGTCACCGTGCCTCCTCACCTTGAAGCTTTTCTGAACTCACAGCAGCTTTCCTGCATCCACTGGGTCAAGCTCACAATTGATTTGGACCCATGACGCGTCCCATTCTATTCCTGCTGCCGCCGCCCCCCCCCCCCCCAAAAAATCCGGACAGATCTTCCTCAAGCTGTCCAGCCGCGGCGGCGGCGGCGGCGGCGGCGGCGGCCGCGGGGGCGAGGGCGCGCTGCTGGAGCTGCTGGGGGCGATGGTCGCTGACATCAGCCAGCTGGCGGCTGTGGGGGTCGTGATGGGCATGCTCATAGGGTACGGCACAAAGGTGGGCAGGCGGGGCCGCTGACATCAGCCAGCCGGCGATTGTGGGGGTGGTGATGCATGGAGTACATGATCCAGGTCAGCGAGGCCCCTGGGGCTGGGAGTGTGCAGACCATTGCTTGAGTCTGGCAAGGCGGCCTCGAAACCGCGTGCACACTCTCCTTGTATAACATACGCACACAAGCTTCACGCATTGTTCACCCTCGTACACACATTTGCGCGTCCGTTTGCAGTTCTTATTCAAGCACATCCAGCGGCGCGGCACCCCGCCGCACGCAGAGGTGGCCATCACCCTGGGCGGCGCATACCTCACATACCTCCTCACTGGTGGGCGGTTCCTGGCGCATGTGTCGCGCGTGCACGGGCGCCAGCAAATATGCGTGCATATGCAAAAGCTGGCGTGGTAGCAGGTGCGCACTCTGCCCTGGCAGGTGTGGCGGGCCGACCCAGCCTGCCCCTTGCCATGCAACCCTTTCTGCTTCCCTGAAACCCGCGGCCCCTCCGCGCTGGCTCGCCATGCCCCAAAACCGCGACCCCACGCACAGAGTATTACGGCCTGTTCGGCTTCCACGGCAGCGGCGTCATCGGCGTCGTGGTTTACGGCCTGTTTGGCAGCGCCACCCTCATCTTTGGTGCGCCGCTGCCGCTGCCCCCGCTGCGGCATGTCTTTTGGCCTGCAGGGCCGTGCTGCCCCGTCTGCCGCTGTAAGCCGTGCTGCTGTGCTGCAACCGCGGTTGCTTTTGGCGGGCTGTCGGAGAAGCAATTCAAAACGCCGCCACGTCAGTTTTGGTCGACGGCATGTGGCGCTCCAAGCGCAAGCCCTGAGATCGCATCCCTCCCCGCTGACGGCCACGCCGCAGGCCTGTCCCGCAAGGGGCGCCGCCACAACGCCTTTTTCGACTTTTGGGATGTTGTGCAGGTGGGGCTTGGTGGCTGTCAAGCGGATGGCCCCCCAAGCAGCGGCTGCTCGATCAGGCCCCACCCCCTCGCGAGCGCACGCAGCGCCGCGCGTGCCGCCGCCCCGCGGTGTGCTCCCCGCTTGCGAACCACCGTCTGTGTCCCTTCCCGCGCCGCCCTCATATTGCATTTTTGCTTCAAACTTCGCACTCCGCAGTTCACGGCCAACGGCCTGGTGTTCTTCTTTGTGGGCGCCTCGGTCGTCAACTTTTTCGTCAGGTGGTGTCACGTGCTGCTCAGCCTCAAAGGGTGGCTTCGACCCGCCCTGCAGAACGGCCCCCCCTTCTCCGATCGCCCTGGCTTGCCGCCACATGCTCAACAACATCAACTTAACCCTCCCGCATGGGCTCCACCTGCGCCCCTCTACCCGCGCTCCCCCACGCCCCTCTGCAACCCGTGCGTCCCTCCGAAACCGCCGCCGCCGCCGCCGCTGTTATGCCGCCGCCCCAGGATCGCGCCCGAGCTGTACCCAGACCACGACGACCCCTGGGACTACGCGTGGGACGCGTCCACGATGATGCTGACGCGGGTGGCGCCGATCTCGCTGTTCACTCTGCTGATTAGGGGCGGCCTCATGTTCCTGGAGGCCCCGCTGCTCGCGCTGGTGGGAGGGGGGGGGGCGCATGGGAGAGGGGCGTGTGTGGGCGTGTGTGGCTGAGGACGGGCGTGGGGCTACGGCGTTTGTGTGCATGCATACGCCCGCGTGTGTTTGTGTGTTGGTGTGTGGGCCTTAGCACGAGCACGCGCTTGAGAGCAAGGGTGCATGTTTGTGTGAGAGGGTGTGTATGTGTGTGTGTGCGTGTGTGTGTGTGTAAAGGACGACGGAGGAGCTGTGTGTGGCCCTGCAGGCGCAGTGTGTGTCAAACCTGGTCGTCCTTTTGCAAGCCGTCTGGAGGGAGGAGTGAGGAAGGCGGGCGTCAGCTGCCATGCTGCGCTTGGCGCGCGTCACCCCAAGCTCTCGCCCGTCAAACCCCGCACGCCTTTGCCGGGTCCCCCTCCACCCAACCGCGCCGCCCTGCCCCCAGGCCGGCCCCCACCTGTCGTGGCAGGAGGTGCTGTTCAGCACAGTGGGCGGCCTGAGGGGCGCCCTGGCCCTGATACTCGCCCAGACAGTGCTGACAGGGCACCACGCGGCGGACGTCGACCCCCACCTCAGAGTGAGCCCTGAATGGGTTTTTCGATGTTGTTTGGAGTGCTGCTTGATGTCTGGCGTTACGGACGCGCCACAAGCTGTGTTGCGCCCATGCTAAGGAGTTCAGTGAACCTGGCAGCGGGGG